GATAGATAGTTGATGGCCCTGAACTATATAATAATGTCCCTTAAACACTTTTTAAAATAATAATTTTTATATTAGTTAAAATTTAATAAAAAATTATAAAATTAGGATACAAACTCATTAAATAAGAAGTAAGATCTAATCAATTTATGCTTTTTTAATAAGTTATAATAAAAAAATGCGTTTAAAAAAGTATATTAAGAAAAGTAAGTATTTTCACTAAAAAAAAACTATTTTATAGTAACATATATTCTATATATAGTTACACAACATTTATCACTAAAAATTACTTTTACCTATAACATATGTTGATATATGTTAGTAAATATATTCTGACAATTGTTTAAAAATATAGGTATAAACAATAATGAGACACAATATAAATTATTAAATTTTATTTAAAATTAACATTAAAATTATGTATAAATATATATCAAAATAGATTTATATTTACATATAATATTTATAATAATTTTTTTATATATATATTATTATATGTAACATTTTATATAATGTTGTTATTTCATTATATATATATTTTTTTGTCAATGTTGTTATTTATTATGTTTTTTTTTTGTCATTTATATGGATCAACATCTAATAAATGTATTAAAATTTGACTTCAGGAGTTAGCAAAGATGGCCTGCTACGCCATTTCTTCCACAGGCCTTCCAAGGCATACACAACAGGAACAAGGAAAAGGAGAAAGGTGCACTCAGATGAAGATGGAAGTGAGACACGTTGGCACAAAACAGGTAAAACTAGGCCAGTCTACAACAGTTCCAAGTTGAAAGGGTACAAGAAAATTCTTGTGCTCTACACAAACTATGGAAAGCAAAGAAAGCCAGAGAAGACAAATTGGGTCATGCACCAATACCACCTTGGCTGTGATGAAGAGGAGAAAGAAGGGGAGTTAGTGGTTTCCAAAGTTTTCTACCAAACACAGCCTAGACAGTGTGGTTCCCTAATCAAAGACTCATCACTTCCTGGGAAACATATGAAGGGTCAAAGTGTGCATCAGGTGGTAAGTAACAACAAAAACAATAATGGGTTTGTTGAGTACTATCATTCAAATTTCATATCATTTGATCAAGGTGGCCAACATAGACCTACCACTGCTCAAGTAATTTCCCATTTTCCTGTCCATGAAGGTGCTCCTTTCATTCCTTGAATGAAGTGATGGAGAGTTATTACAAGATGAAAATATATTAAATATATACATAGAATTCATAATACTGAGGCATCACAATTATATATCATTGCAAAAATAAAGTAAGTTAATAACATATACTATAGTTAGGAAGGGAATGAAAAGGTGGGAAATAATAAGGAGAGAAATTGTGCTTCATTTGAAAGCTAATGCATAGATACTCATATTAAGGAAGAAAGAGACTGGGGAAGTAAAGAAGAAGATTTAGATATATATGTAACATTTTTCTTTCTTAATTTTCTTCCCTCTCTCTTTGTATTTTTTGAGGGTACGTAGTTTCTATATATGTCATGCTTTGTACAGTAGTGTCAAAGGCATCATGTCCTATGAATCAAGAAAGGCATCATGTCCTTGCTTGTGTAATTAAAGACTAACCATCAACCTGTACAAACATGACTTTTACCCTAAAGAGTCTTCAACTGCAGAATATTTTTGTGTTCTTTTTCCCTAACAGTTTTAATTTATTGTAAGCGTTATTATATATTTAATGCCTTCATAATATAAATTTGTCAGTAACTGAGTTATTTCTCCATTATAGATACAAAGTTAGCGTCTTTTAAAAATTTCTTTAACAAAAAAATACTCTTTAATTATATATTCTAAGTAAAAAATTTCTTAAAAACATTTTTACCTCCAAACAAACTTTATTATTAGACTCGAGTGTCTCAGCAGATTGAATTGTCCCTATTGCATTTTATTTTTTTAATAACATTTATTTACTTACGTTTGTTAAAATATTATTATATATTAAATAAATGGTTCATTTTATAATATATATTTTTTTAAAATGTTACTATAGATAGGATAATTTTTTTTTTATCTTAATATTATTCTTTATAATTTTTTCATAATCAAAGTTTCATATTGAGTAAAAAAAGTTACATAGATTATTTTGAATTTTTTTTTGTAAAATATTATGTCGACAAATAATATTTTTTATTTTAATATCATTCTTTGTCACGTAAAGAGTATAATTTTTCCTTTTCTAATTGTTTCCCATAATTAATGTTTCACATTATTATAACACGTATTATATATATATATATATATATATATATAATATATATATATATATATATATATATA